GCATGAACTCAAGCAATGCACATCAAATAGTTTATTTGACGCAAATGAGGCTCCTTTTTGGAACACTAGTTACCTACAAATACAGAACAATCTTTGCCAGGGTTGTTAATTGTATTTAAAAGATATTTTAAAGCCTTGGATTTATATCACACCTATTGGCATCTGAAAGGGCATTACAACTAATTAAGTATTTTTGAAGTGTGATCATTGTTGTAATGTAAGAAATATGACAACTAGTTTCCACAGAGCAGGGCTACAGAAACAGAAATGTCATAACGATCAGCTCATTTGTTTATGTGATGTTGATTGAATTAGTGCAGCCAGAACATGAGATAACTCTTCTGCCCTTTTGTTTTTTGAAACAGTATGAAAAGATCACTACACATAAACCTGAAAGAGCAGATAGGACTGCCAACCTTCAGCAGTCTGGTATGCTGTTAGCAAAACCCTGGGAAGTCAGGTCTGATTTCTGTTCTCATGTCCTGAGTCAGACTTTTAACACAATAAAGTTAAGCTTATGAAGTCATTGAGGTAACACTGAAGTATATGTGTACGTAAACATCTTTTTATCTCAAACAATACAAGCAAAATGCAATACAAGTGAATTTTTTTTCTGATGGATGATGTCCGATACTGCTTAATCACTTTCACAGTGGCAGACAACTCTTGCTAGTTCTAAATTTTTGCTGGTTGATGTTAACTTTTAATGGCTTGGAACTCTCAAGTAATTTAGTATTAATCGAGACTAGTTTTAGAATAAAATTGATGAGGAACACAATAAATGTACCAGAGAGCATAAGAATAGTTCAGGAATTTCAGGTAGTTCTAACAGAGTCTCATTAGTGTAAGTATTTAATTCACAGACATCTGGGCAAAACATATTCTTTATTTGCAGGTTACTTTTCATGAGATTAATGTAGGTTCAAAGAAATTGAAGCAAAAATTTTTTTTCATTTATATTTTATGTCTTGTTGCTGATAGGCAATTTTCAAATGTTAACTCTCAAAATTGCACCTGTACTAATATTTGCTAACATTACAAGAATAGAAAAAAAAATGGTGAATAAATATCCTCCAGAGTGACTCAGCAGTGAGTTGGGATGTGATAGATGCAGAATTATTTATTTCCAAAACCAATGAATAATTTTAAATTTGAGAAATTGTCAATCATTAGAGATTTTTATGCTGACAGTTTGCAAAATGAAGTTTGGGCTTAGAAGTATAAGGCAGAATGGGCAAAATTTTACTTATATAGTACCAAGAAAATAGACATAAGCTTAGGAAGTTAAAGAAAAATAACATGTTACTTTAACATCAATGCGTAGATGTTAATTGAAGTTTAAAGTCCATGTTTTATTTACAATGTTTAGACTTTTCTTAAAGCCATTACGAATTTAAATTTCAATTTATCATTACAATGAGGCAAAAATATAAATAGTGTATTGTTTTGATTTCTTAATGCATTGTGCATTTGAGAACATATTACTTCGTATGTAAGCTTCAAAATATGAGGTACAGTATTACTAGAAATACAGAAATTAGATTAAAAGAAAAAAACATTCTTTTTGAGTTTCCATAGCTTCAAACTGTGAACTAAAAGATGTAAAGAAGAGCATGTTCATCAACCAAAAATAAAACCAAGAATTGTGGGTGCTGGAAATCTGAAATAACAACAGAAAGTGCTGGAGAAGCTCAGCAGGTCTGGCAGCATCAGTGAAGAGCAAGCAGAGTTAACGTTTGAGTCCCATTCCGAAGAAGTCATTGGGTTCGAAATGTTGGATCTGCTTTCCCTCCACAGATCTAATGTCTACAATGATGAACAAAATATATTTCAAATAATGTTCTCAACAAAGTTTGAAAATTAGTTCATAACTCAACACCTAAAGATGTTTCAAACAGTATGATGACTGCTCATCATGTGTTGATAATACCAAACAATTATAGTTTCAAATTACCCTCATTAAGATGGATAACAGACTACATTTATTACATGTCCCATCCTGGGATTCATTTTGCATTAAACATTAATTTAAAAAATTTATTGTTGGCCATGATTTCTTTCCATGTAATATAAGAAAGCACATTTCTTAGCCAGGTTTTAACAAAGGATTACAGTATTTAGGGCAGCATGGTAGGTCAGTGGTTAGCACTGCTGTCTCACAGCACCAGGGACCCAGGTTTGATTCCACCCTCTGGCGGTGTTTGTACATTCTCCCCATATCTGAGTGGGTTTCCTCCAGGTGCTCTGGTTTCCTCCCACAGTCCAAAGATGTGCAAATTAGGTGGATTGACCATGCTGAAATCAGCCACTGTGTCCAGGAATACGTTGGCTGGGTGGATTAGCTGTGGGATATGCTGGGTTACAGGGATATGGTACGGGAGTGGGTCTAGGTGGGCTGCTCTACGGAGGACGATTGTGGACTTGATGGGCCAAATGGCCTGCTTCCACATTGTAGGGATTCTATGATTCTATTAATTTTCATTTCAAAGCAGACTGACATTTGTTTAATTTGAGTATTTCAATATGAATAAATAAAGATTTGCTGATATACAGTTATTTTCCTTGTTAATATGCAATTAATATGAATTTAATATTTGGTATTTCAGCAAACTAAACATTATACTAGAATAATTTTAATTATTCAATTTATTTAACTAAATTAACTGTAATTTATCTTTAACTGTGACTCTAAATTTTTACAATGAATACGAATCAACAACAATGGATCAGTACTACACCCGGGCAGAGATTACGATAAAAATAATCACTTCAAGATATCATCTAACCTCTGACTTAACACAAAGCTTTATTCAAGCAATTTTACATATTTTGAATATCTTCAATGTGATTGTATTTTATTATCTATAATTTACACCAGTACATATAAGATGCTTGTGTATGCATACATCACACTATAATGTATATACAGCTGCATGTACACACAGAAATCAACACACCGTGGTGAAAAAAGTTATACACAAAATAAAATGCAAAAAGAATATGTTTCTAATATTGTTTTAAGGGAGAAAATAATTTCAAATCCACATCATTTCAGGAGAGTTATTTTCAAATTATAAAGTCGTCATCATTTTTCAATTAATCGAGTACAACACTTCCATTTCTTTATAAATGCTATACAGATTAAAACAAAGTTCTCCTGAATACTCTTTATACCCTAATCATAGAATAACACAAAATATTGATCATGTTTTAATAAATGTGGCAAGAGGTAAGGAGTCCTAAAACTATTCCTGTGGCACACAATTTATAGAAAGTATAGTATTTTGATGCTTGTTTCACCCTTCATTTGGGACAATTTAATTTTGGATTCTATAACCAAAAATATAACAAATGGTGCAAGACCAAATTGAAGATTGAAAACTGGTTTCTAGCTATGATTTTAGATCCAATCACAGCCAATACTTGTTTCTGAAATGATACAGCCAGTGATCCCATAGATTCTGTGTCTACTATGCAATGTCAGTTACAGAGTTCCTTATTTTTCTTTTCATCTCAGTTGGGATATTTCTACGGACACCATGCCTACAATTTAAAATTTAAGATAAATAGCATAAAGGACTTATAGACCGAAACCTCTGAAGACATGAATGAACAATGAAAACTGGATATGCAACATAACCAAGGTTTAAATTATTCATTTCAAATTTGTGAATAATAACCTTTTTGAATTAATTTTGCCAAATTCTAAATGGACTACAAGTAAGTCACAGGATGTCCTCTTACAATTTACAACGATGCTCTCCTCCAGTCTAACACACTGACCAAACCTTGATGCTTCCTTCTCAACTTGTCTGAAAAATCTCAAAATATAGCCTATCAGAAACCGACATCTATTTATTATTCAAGCCGAGGGGCGGGGAGGCGGATGGTGAGACAAGGATCACATTTTCATTAAAATTAACACGGCTTTCGTAATTTCAAACCTCCCGAATTCTGTGCTAGTTACATGAAATGCTTAACGGACTTCCAACAGTTGACACAAATTTTTGAAGTCATTACTTCTCCCTAACTGAATGCCCACAGCAGAGCAAAAGGATCAGGGACTTCAACTTCCTCCGTGGTACATTTCTCAAAAATTTCGTTGCTTGTTTAACAACTCTTCCATCGAACAAAATGTCCTAAAAGCCCATTTCCTATTTTACGGAAGACTTCCTGAGAGGCTTCGAACGGACATGTGTCTGCTCTTTGGGGTTGACACGTGCGTTACAATTTTAAACAATGCTAAGTTATTAACGGGTACTCTTTGTTGCTAATTCATAGCGGAATGAACAATTTCTTTCAATAATTTGTGTATGAATATCTCTCAGACCTACACTTAATTATGTAACATCGTTGGCAGTCCTAAGTATTGAAGTATAAATCTAAGTATTAAATCTCATTCCGCAGGAAGAGAGGACGAGGTACTTCAGATTAAATTTGTTCGAATTGTCGTTGGATTTATGACAGTAAGACGAGTTTCCTCTCGAGTAAGCAGATACAGTTACAGAACTTTACCGAGGGAACAAAAAGTGCAGCATTATTTAGCACAGCCATTCGATATTTCAAATCGACATCACTGGTTTAACTGTACAACCCACACTTATCATCGTTTCAAATGCTCTGGGTCTGGCCCAGCGAACGAAGAAAGGCCGCCCTCCGACTTGCATTGACTTGAAGCAGTTGATCCCGCGGATCAGAGAGAGCCTCCAGCGCCATGGGCCCTCCCTCACTGCACTCAGGATGAATTCCCACCTTGACCTATCCCTCACCCTCTCTCCACTTTCCCAAACATCCTGCCTCCCGCAGCTGACCAACACCGCACCAAACCTTCTCTTACAAAGCAACAGACCAGAAGAAGGATTAAAAAAAAAACAAACATCGAAAAACCTTTTTTTCCTTCCGTTTTGGCGCGGTCAGATCTCTCGCCACACGACAGACCTGAAGCGACACCGTTTTTGTGTTTTGGAGGGGGCGGGTCAGGATCAGAAAGCAGCTCTCACCTGTGTCAAGTCCTGCTGGTTCTCCAGCATCCGAACGGCGGGTTTGATGTCTTCAAACACCGGCTGCTCCTCTGAAGCTCCGTCAGCCATGGTCACTGGTTTGAGCTGAGTAAAGACAGCGTTTTCTTCGGAATTCGGCACACTGATTGCCAGCCCACTGCTCGACATTACTATTTGTTTTCTACTTGCAACTTTACTTTTCTTTTAAATGTGTCTGTAATCACTGAATGCAACATAAAACAAATGAAATGAATTCCAAGTTTGCCCACAGTGATGCCTCACAGCGCAATGGTCTGCTGCCTCTGATCTGATCTCAACCTGTCACTCACCTGAACTATACCTGTACGCAGCTCCTGTGATTGACAGCACAGCCACCAATAGCGGCCCGGCTCGGGCCGTCAATCACACGGAGGCGGGTTCAGGCTGGGCAAAAGGGCGGGGCCCGAGCTGCATTGGCAGCGAGCAGCGCGCACACTCTACACCCCCACGTTGAGCAATTCTGGCCATTGCGAAACAAAAAGTTTTGTGTGTCTTTTAGGTAAAAGTTTTTTTTTCGGGGGGTGGGGGTTGCTGTAAATGTGAGTTTGGCGTTCGGTTTCTTCTCCAGGTAATAAAACAATGAAAGAAGCCAGTCCATTCATGAATCTAAGAGACGCATTGTAAACATTGTACTTTGAAACCTCAGCAACAGTTTATTGCTGCAGCCACATGATCTGTTCAAAATGCAGTAGCTGTGTAGAAGTGGTCTGACCGTAAGGGCCAGTGCAGCATCAGGTTCTTCTGCTCCCCAGTAAGAACGAAAAGTTGAAAAAGCACACAATGTGGAATTGTCGTAGCATCTCTTAGCTTTGTTCATCTTTTACTGTTTTAACAAAAACAAAACAAACTTATTTATTGGGGAAGTGGTACTTCAAATTACTTTACTGGATGTGTCTGAAGATTTTATCATTTGCATTTCTCACGGTAATGATATATTTACATCATTGCTCAGTGTGTCCAGAACTGTACCTGTGTGTATACACTAACAAGGAATTTAAGAACAAGCTTAGAAAATGGAAGATGCACAGTTTAAGTTTAATTGGTGATTGTTTGGGAAAACTGCTCAAAAAAGGAAGTAGATAGTGTGAAAGAAAGATAATTGTACAGCTAAAGTAAAAGTTGCAAATATTTTGGTTCTAGCCAAATGGAAACCAAAGTCTTCTACTGTCCCACATTTTACCATAATAGCTTAGATTTAAAAGGCATTTTAAAAGGCATCCATGTGAGTGTAAACAGACAAAAATCGACACCTATCCAGAAAGGGAACTGTTAGGGCAGTCAACCAAAAGGTAAATTTTGAGGGTGTGATCTTAAAAGTGGCCATAGAGATGGAGAGGAAGTTCAGGCAGTGAACTGTTTTCCCAGATGGATTTTTGTTTTCATTTTGAAGGCTAGACTATCATTTATTGCCATATTTAATTGCTCTTAAGGTGGTAAGGTGCTGGTGTTTTTGAACTTGCTGCAGTCCTTGTTGGACAGGGACAGACACAGTGTTGTTACACGCGGATTTGCAGGATTTTGGCACAATGATAGTGAGTGGTCTTTGTTATATCCAGTATCAAGGTCCATCCAACATGTTTTATTCTTATCTGTGTTTTCAGTAGCAGTTTGACACCATTAGGAATGTTATTAGGACATTTCAGAGAACAGTTCAGAGTCAGTCACGTTGTTGTGTGTCTGGAATCATGGGTAAACCAGTTTGGTTAATGTCAGAAGACTGCCTAAGGGTCATTAGTACTCTAGTTCAATGCAGTAGTTTAACGATTACCATTGTTAAGACTAGCTTTTAATTCCAAACATATCAATGACTTGAATTTAAATACTCCAAGCTGCCATGGAAAGATTTGAATTAATATCTCCAGTGCATCGGTCCAAGCCTCTGGTTACTTCTCTGACAACATTAACATAATGCCATAATTCCTATATTCATTCATTGGTTTGCATTATCACCAACAAAAGACATTCCAAAAGTTGGGCTATGAACCAAAGTTTTATCCTGCTTCCTGTTTAATCCTTTCTGAAAGAGACAACCCTCTATTGAAAAGAACAAACTGGAGACCATCAACCACTTAAGTCAATGGTAGTTGTATCTTTTTCAAATGTTTCCAACAGTGCAGAGCCTCAAAGAAGGTAATATATCAAAGACAACAAAATCAACCCTTTTGGAGTGCACATTGGCTGTGAGTAAAGTTAGTAGCAGGTTTGGCTTATAAATTAACTCTTCAGTGTGATACATGGGCATAACATCATCAGCTTTCTGAAATAATGTAGTCTGAATGGGTGGTTCTTAAATTGGTCAAAAATGTACTAACAACTTTGTTGATTTTTTTTCAAGTGATATCACTGACAAAACAAGTTTAACTGGTATGATCCAGTGACAATCTGCAGCTAAATCTGGATAGAAGAAGAATCACTGCTTAGGTAGCACACCCTGTATCCTGACATACACACAGTTAACTCTTGCTATGCAAGCTTAAACTGCAGGAGACGATTTCAAAAATTTTTATACTACAGAGCAAACAGCATTGAATGCACAATAAATTACGAATAAACCAGTTAATTAATGGTTTTCTCCACTTTGGAATATTGTGAAGAGCGTTTAAAACAAAGACTAAATAAGAGGTCAATATCTTTCTGATATTAGGGAAATTTCTGTCTGTTTTCAAAACTTTAAAAAAAGTCACTGAGCTTATATGGAATTTAGTTTTTCTCATCAAATAGTACAAATTCCTATTAGTCGGAATGCAAGCAATAATGCCAAAATGTTGTCATGTTATGATCCCACTCATTACGAAGTAGTACCATATTAGTCAAAAGAGATCGCAGCAATAGCACTCTTGATTCACCTGGTTTCTCACCCTCTGGAAGATTGTCAACTGTTCGGAGGAAATCCAAATACTTTCTTCTTTCGCCTTTCATTACAAGATATAGTGACTTTCAGGTCAGTTTGGCACGGTGGCACAGTGGTTAGCACTGCTGACTGACAGCACAAGGGACATGAGTTCAATTCCACCCTTGGATGACTCCATGGGAAACGCAGGCTTATGAGGATATGGTACGGGGTGAGTCTGGGTGGGATGCTCTTCGGAGGGTCCGTATAGACACAATGGGCCAAATGGTCTCTTTCAGCACTGTAGGGATTCTATGAATCTAAGCTCAACACATCATGCGCCAAAGGGCCTGTACTGTTCTCTCACAGGATTTTATACAAGAAATCCATGTAGGTAAGCAAAAGAGCATGAATTGATTAAAGGTAAAATGTCTGTGCCCAATGTTAGGCTGTAAATAATATATACGTGTGCAGGTGCACCTACTTGACAGTGTTAGTTTAGAATTTCCTCCAAGGATTCTTGTGCACAATGGTAGTGTCCCTACCTCTGAGCCAAGAGGCTCAGGTTCAAGCCCCACACATTCTAGATGTGTGTCATAACATTTCTGAACAGGCAGATTTGAAAACAGCTAGAATTTCCCCCACATTCTTGGTTCAACAGGGAAGCATTTGCCATCCACTGCACTAAGTTCTGTAGCTGATTTCAACCATAAGAACTACACTGTCAGTCACAAACAAGGACATCTACTCTCAACTTTAATGTTCCTGCCTCCCACCAGGTGTTTATAGAGAAAATGTGCAGTATCAGTGCACATGAGATAGCCAACAGACACATTATTGAGCAAATTACATTTTCATCACCTTCTCCATCAAAGACCAGCAGGAGTATTTCCCACATGCCAGATTTGACCGTACTGCTTGCTTTTCTAAGGTACAGAGGATTGTTAATGACTTCTATTTGACCATTAAAATCGCAGATGCTTGCTGTTCCTCTGCGATCACCATTTACCTCATCAGATCCTTGTCCTACATTTTGCCTTGTGCAATATCTTAAAGCTCACTAACTACATCCACTGGAATCTATGTAGGCATCCTCGTGTTTCAAAATGAGAGAGGAATACATTGCTGTAAGCTGTTAGCTTTCTCAAGGCTCTAGCAGGTTCTTTTAGGTTTGTTTAATGCTGCCTCCTAGATATGTCAAAACAGTAACCTTGTTATACGCTGCATGTGTTTGATTTTGTTGTAGCTGTGTGTCAGTGACTGAGGAAGAGAACAAGATGTAACAAGAAAAGTTTGTATATATTCCGGGGAGATTTCTAGCTTGATCTTCGTCTACTTTTTTAGATGCTTTGTTTGAGCAAGCAGGTACAGAGCGGCCACCTCAAAAAATAATCAAATACAAGACATTTCTGCTTCTCCAATTCATATAAGTTCCTTTTTTTATGTGACAGCTTATCTGACAAGCAGACAAGCGGTTCTGTCCAAATGGGAATTCAAAAGAAACATCTTTACCCAGAGCATGGTGAGAATGTGGAACTCACATTCACAAGGAGTGGTTGAAGCAAATAGCACAAACAAATTTCAGGGGAGGTCAGACAAGCAAATGAGTTAGCATGGAATAGAGAGTTATGCTGTTAGATTTAAACAAGTAAAGATGGGAGGAGGGATAGTAGGAGGATTGAGTGGAGCATGAATGGACTGGTTAGAACAAGTGGCCTGTTTCTATGCCGTATAACTCATGTAATCCTACGTAAGTTGTAACTTAATGAAGCACACATACCGTTATTTGTCATTTGTCCAATTTGTAACCTATCCTCTACATCAGTAAATTGATATGCATTATGCGGCTTGGACACATTGGAAAAAATTGCTGCGCAAAGCTTTTGAGGATTTAAATAGAGTAAAAACTTGTGATGCAACTTATTCAGCCTGTATCTGTGCCATTCCACTGTATATTCATTCATGAAAGATATTCAAAGGGTGCATTATTGTTTAGAATGTTAGGGGGTAGTGGTAAAAATAATTAGGTATGAGGACACATGTCACAGCATGTATTGTAGGGCTGATTCTTACTATTGGAAAGGATTGGATTGGCTTTATTTCCCAACTGCCAGCAATGTCATTTTTTACAGCAAGGACTCTAATTGTTGTAGATACCAATTATCCATACCAAGAATTTCCTGTCACAGATATTGGATGACTTTTGGGAGAGTTCAAAGTTACATTGATCTACAAGCTAACATTCATCACTAAAGTAACACCATCAAACAGATTAACTGGTCACTTACATCATTGTTGCATATGGAAACTTGTTGTGTATAATTGGCAGTTGTATTTACCTACAAGACGTCAGTGACTGCACTTTAAAATAAATATATTAACTATGAAGTACTTAGGGATATATAACTGCTTTATAAGTCCAGAACCTTTCT